CACCTCGGAAGCATGGAAAGCTGAGTCAACCTTGAGCCGGTCAGGATTGAACTACTGGCAGTGGGCAGAGTTAACCTGCAATACTACATTCTAACCACTGTGCCACTTCGGCCTTAGTTTATAGGGAAGCTAAGAAACTTGATATCTATGGAGATTCTTAGTCACCCAGGTCATGGTTGCCCCAGAGGTGCTTTTTTCAAGAGGCAACTGGACTTTCTGGTTTTTCTTTGAAGACGTTTCGCTTCTCATCCAAGAAATTTCTTCAGCTCTGACTAGAATCCTTCCATTTTTTTTTAAATTAAATTTATATGCCGCCCTTCTCCGGAAACTCAGGGCGGCTTACAATGTGTTAAGCAATAGCCTTCATCCTTTTGTATATTTTATACAAAGTCAGCTTATTGCCCCCACAAACTGGGTCCTCAATTTACCTACCTTAGAAAGGATGGAAGGCTGAGTCAACCTTGAGCCTGGGGAGATTCGAACTTGCAATAATTGCAGACAGCTGAATTTTAATAACAGGCTTTTAGTCTGTTGAGCTATCCAGGCTCCATTTCCCACCATCCAGTCAGAGCAGAAGAAGCTTCTTGGATGAGGAGTGAAATGTCTTCAAAGAAAAACCAGAAAGTCCAGTTGCCTCTTGGAAAAAGCACCTTTGGGGTAAGAAAGTTGATAATTTCTTTTTCAATTGCAAGGAGTTTATCATTAAATTGTTATCCTTGTAATTAAACGTTGGACAATGGATAGAAATAGGGAATATTTTCCTGTCGTCGCTTGGTGATAAAATCTGTTCTTTTGTTTCCTCCTTTCAAATTTTTATGAAGTAGAGGACCTGTCCTACGACCAGTTGCTTAGCGACTGCTGGAAGTTACAACTGACCCTGCTATTTACAACCTAGATTTGAAGCTCTGATTATCTGCCCCCCGCACCCCATGATCATATGATTGCATTTTGGGTGCTCAGTAACTATATTTATGGCTGTTAAATATATTTTAAACTGTTTTTAAATTTTGTGGGTATATGGCTGTACACCGCCCTGAGTCCTTCGGGAGAAGGGTGGTATAAAAATTTAATAAATCATCATCATCATCATCATCATCCCTGGAATATTTTTGCTGGAAATTTACATTTGCTTCTGATTTCTGGCAAAAATACGTCCATTGCAAACAATGGTTTCATTTAACGACCGCCGTAAAAGTCGTGAAATCAGGCTCAATCACATGATGATCTACTTAATAATCAGCACGACTTACAGCTGTAATTCTGGCCTCAATTTTTATCATAAATTGAGGACTAGCTCTAAATAGCTCTGCAGTATAGCTCAGGTTTGCTCAACCTCAAACACTTTAAGAGGCATGGACTTCAACTCCCAGAATTCCCCAGCCAGTAGACTGTGGACAGGGCATAAAACTGTAAAAAAACACATCCAAGGAGCTACTTAATCAATAGGAAGCCTGGCTTACAGGTAATCTTTGATTTAGGACAGTAGTGGAACCTGTACAATACGGGCATAAATTGTGAATGTCATAAAGTGGATCAACTCCTGACCAACTCAATTTTATGAGCTTTTTTTGCAGTAACTCTAGTCATTGAGCTATAAATGGGGGCCAGTTGCTGAGTGACCGACATGAGTGGGAATAGAATAGAATAGAATAGAATAGAATAGAATAGAATAGAATAGAATAGAATAGAATAACAGAGTTGGAAGGGACCTTGGAGGTCTTCTACTCCAACCCTCACTCAGGCAGGAAACGCTATACCATTTCAGACAAATGGTTGTCCAATCTCTTCTTAAAAACTTCCAGTGTTGGAGCGTTCACAACTTCTGGAGGCAAGTTGTTCCATCGGTTAATTTTTCTAATTGTCAGGAAATTTCTCCTTAGCTCTAGGTTGCTTCTCTCCTTGATTAGTTTCCACCCATTGCTTCTTGTCCTGCCCTCAGGTGCTTTGGAGAATAGCTTGACTCCCTCTTCTTTGTGACAGCTCCTAGATATTGGAAGACTGCTATCACGTCACCCCTAGTTCTTTTCATTAAACTTTTTGTTGTTGTTGTTAGTTGCGAAGTCGTGTCCGACCCATTGCGACCCCCATGGACAACGTTCCTCCCGGCCTTCCTGTCCTCTACCATCCTCTGGAGTCCATTTAAGCTCATGCCTACTGCTTCGGTGACTCCATCCAGCCACCTCGTTCTCTGTCGTCCCTTTCTTCTTTGGCCCTCAATCTTTCCCAGGATTAGGCTCTTCTCCAGGGAGTCCTTCCTTCTCATTCGGTGGCCAAAGTATTTGAGTTTCCTCTTCAGGATCTGGCCTTCTAAAGAGCAGTCAGGGTTGATCTCCTCTAGGACTGACTCACAGGTTTGATGGCCTTGCAGTCCAAGGGACTCGCAGGAGTCTTCTCCAGCACCAGAGTTCAAAGGCCTCAAACTAGACATACCCAATTCCAGCAACCGTTCTTTATATATGTTTTAGCCTCCAGTCCATGCAGCCACATGCCCATGGAGTAAGATGTGGGTTAGCCAGAACTGGGTTCTAAGTGCCCCTATTGAGACTATCTGTACAAACCAAACAGGGGCCATTAAACAAATAACAAAGTAATAAACTATCCATGCATCAGGAAAAAACAGGCTTTTAAAAATTCAGCTTTCCCTCCATTAATGACATCTCGACCCCTTCGATAAACCCTCACCTTTTAGAGATTTCCCCGCTACGTTTTCCTGAGCAGATACACATACAATTTTAAACCATTCAAGATTAAAATCGTTTTTCCCCCTCAGAAAGTTGAGTGCCGGTATCAGTGACTATTAGCTGTTACAGTTCAATAGACAGTTGGTGCCTTGGATTGAATAAAATTGCTATGGCTTATGGGGATTTTTTAGTTCTTTGCCAGCAAACTTCCCTTTCCTCTTTATTTTATTTTATTTTTTTAATTTTTTTTTTAAATCTCTACCTCGGTGCAAACGAGCCCTCTTTAGCTCAGGCCGCTCTTTCCACATAAAATATACGCTCGTAGCAGGAGTGAAAAATGCCACGCTAATTACACCATTATTTTATTATGTAGCGCGACTAAAAAAAAAAAAGTCTACTAAAGAATTAATTTGGTTAAAATAATTTGAATTGAGCAATTATTTCCTTAACACTGGAATTAGCTGAAAGGAGTTTCAAGTGGTTTATTGCCAGTGCTACATAATAAAATGATTGTTTAATTAGCAATAAATTTGTCATTTGCTATAGGAAACAAAAGGATTGTTTCTTTCATCCAGACATGACATTAAACCAAAAGTTACGCCTCTTTTTTTGCCTCAACATTTTTTTTTTTTTTTTTTTTTGAGCTACTATATTCTTCTTTGCCTGGGAATAAATTAAAGATCACGCTGGATCAAAGCAAAGTTGGGGGTGGGTGGGTTATTAAGCACAGATAGTCCTCAACTTACAACTGTTTGTTTAGTGGCCATTCAAAGTTACGATGACACTGATAAATACCTTACAACCGTTCCTCAAACATATTACTTTAGTTACATTAATTACATTACAGCATCTCTGTGGTCACATGATCAAAATTCAGGCACTGGCCAACTGGCATGTATTTATGACGGTTGTAGCATTCTATGACTACATGATCATCAGTTATGACTTACTGGGGGGCTTCCAACTGGGGGAAGCCAGATTCGTTGAAAGACCATGTGATTCACTTAACAACCATGGCAAAAAAAAGATTTAAATGTCTTTATGTGAGGATTGAGGGAAACAGTTGCTCAGTGGCTAAGACACTGAGCTTGTCGATCGAAAGGTTGGCAGTTGAGCGGTTTGAATCCCTAGTGCTGCGTAACGGGGTGAGCTCCCGTTACTTGTCCCAGCTTCTGCCAATCTAGCAGTTCGAAAGCACATAAAAAATGAAAGTAGAAAAATGGGGACCCCCTTGGTGGGAAGGTAACAGCGTTCCGTGCGCCTTTGGCATTTAGTCATGCCGGCCACATGACCACGGAGACGTCTTCGGACAGCACTGGCTCTTCTGCTTTGAAACGGAGATGAGCACCGCCCCCTAGAGTCAGGAACGACTAGCACATATGTGTGAGGAGAACCTTTACCTTTACCTTATTCCTGACATTTTGAGCTTAAAATGAGTGGTCTTGGCCTTATCAGAAATGTCAGAACCTTTACCTTTATGTGAGGATTACAGACCTTTTTTCCTTCCTGCATGGAAAAGAATAATAGATTAACAGAATTGGAAGGGACCTTGGAGGTCTTCTAGTCTAGTCCAACCTCTTGCTCAGGCATGAAACCATGAGAATTGGACCTCCATCTTCAGGAAACCCTACAAGTAATCCTTGACTTACAATCATTTGTTTAGTGACTATTCAAAGTTGCAACGGCACTGAAAAAAGTGATATGATTGTTTTTCACACTTACGACCGCTGCAGCATCCCCATGCTTAGGTGACCAAAATTTGGATGCTTAGCAACTGGCATGTATTTATGACGGTTGCGGTATCCTGGGCTCACGTGATCACCTTTTGCGACCTTCTCCCAAGCAAAGTCAATGGGGAAGCCAGATTCGCTTAAACAACCGTGTTACTAACTTAACAACTGCAGTGATTCACTTAACAAGTGCGGCAAGACAAGTCGTAACATGGGGCAAAACTCACTTAACAACAACTCTCTCATTTAGCAACAGAACCTCTGGGCTCAATTGTGGTCGTAAATCGAGGACTACCTGTGTATCTCTGAATACCAGTTCTTGCATTTTCAAATTTAGTCTTGAAGGAGAAGAGTTCTACCCTGCGGTTCCATGACAATTTTCACATTTGATTTAGCTGTCCGTGTCTAAAGACTGTTGGAAGGATTTCTTCCTTCCATGAGTTTGTCCCAGTCTTCTCGTAAAAAGTGATTGGGGCCAAATGCTTGAACCAGTGAACCCCACAAGTTAAAGTGGAGGTGAGGGGCGGGGCATTTATTAGGGAGAAAGCATGAAATCCATTTCTTACTTCTGTGTCCTTCTCCTCCCCAGATATGTACGACCAGGTGCTGAAGTTTGGGGCCTACATCGTAGACGGTCTGCGAGAATATAAGCAACCGGTCCTTGTTTATATCCCACCCCAAGCAGAACTCCGAGGAGGGTCCTGGGTGGTGATCGACCCCACCATTAATCCTCGACATATGGAATTGTACGCTGACCGGGACAGCAGGTGGGTCTGTTTTTCTGATGTAATTTAACATAACTTTGAGATGCAAATAGCAATAGCACTTAGACTTATATAGCGCTTCACAGTGCTTTAGAGCCCTTTCTAAGCGGTTTACAGAGTCAGCCTATGGCCCCCAACAATCTGGGTCCTCATTTTACCCACCTCGGAAGGATGGAAGGCTGAGTCAACCTTGAGCCTGGTGAGATTCAAACTACCAAACTGCTGGTAGCTGGCAGTCAGCAGGACTGCAGTACTGTATTCTAACCACTGCGCCACACCATGGCTCTTCTGCAGTGTTAATTAACGAAACAGCTATACTTACCCGTAGTAAGCTTATTGTTCTGCCCCAGCTACGGACCCCAAAGAACGCAGCACACACAAAGTCTGTACAAACCATAGTTTACTAAATTAAAACAGTCTTTTTCAAACAAAGGCTGTTAATTAACTTTCTTAACAGCCTACAAGAATCCAAAGAATAAATAATCGTAATCTTACTATGGTTGGCAGAAAGCCCAGAAGCAATTTGCAGAGAACTAAGATCAAGACGCGAAGGAGAGTGAACGAAGTTGTTCCCTGCAAATTGCCTCAGTCGTCGTCCTTCCTTAAATAGGCTAAGGGACTGGCCAATTAGCCCCAAGCCTTACTCTCAAGGAGACCTCCTCCTGAGGAGCCACTCCTGCCTTTTGGCAGCTCTGCGCGCCCGTGCATCGAGAAGAGGCTCCTCCTCTTCGTCCTCTTCACTTATGGGAGCTTCTGGAGGTTTTGAAGGCCCTGGCTGAATCCCCGCCTCTGGCACCACATCTTCTCCAGCCTCCTCATTGTCCGACTCGAGTGCCAGCTGCACAGGCTGCTGGCGCAGCACCACACCAGCCTCCTCGCTGTCGGAATCAGCTACTAGCTGCACAGGCCGCTGACGGGCCACAACACTTATATCATGGAAATTATATCATGAAACTAAGGAGAAATTTCCTGACAGTGAGAACAATAAAACAACGGAATGGTTTGCCTTCAGAAGTTGTGAGTGCTCCATCACTGGAGGCTTTTAAAAAGAGACTGGATAGCCATTTGTCTGAAATACTGTAAGATTTCCTGCTTGAGCAGGGGGTTGGACTAGAAGACCTCCAAGCTACCTTCCAACCCTGTTATTTTGAAATCCTTATGAAGCCAGAGTACCTGCAATGTTTTGTAGCAGTTATCACTAATATTTGATATGGACCCACACAGACTTCGTGGCAGTTCATCACACTAACCCCTGAATCCTTGCAATCAACTTTCTGTTAGTCCTTTATCAGAACTACAGAAACAATCGCTGAGTTTATTGTGGCTGTTTCTTTAAACCCGCTAGAAAAGTTGCAGATGGTGATCACATGACCCCAGGATGCTGGAACTATTGTAAATATATATTTGGTTACCAAGCATCCACAAGACAGTCATAAGTGCAAGGACCAGTCCAGGGGTGGGTTTCAACCATGCACGTGCTTCACCCGATCCGGGACGAACTGGTAGCAACCCACCACTGGTTCTAACTGTCAGGAAATTTCTCTTTAGTTCTAAGTTGCTTCTCTCCTTGATTAATTTCCACCCATTGCTTCTTGTCCTGCCCTCAGGTGCTTTGGAGAATAGCTTGACTCCCTCTTCTTGATTCTATCCCTCTGTTTATGCAGCCCAGAACTGTGTTGGCTTTTTTGGCAGCTGCTGCACACGGCTGGCTCATATCCTGTCTTTATTTTTCCAGTTTCTTCCTCCACGTTAATTTTAGATGCATTCCCTTCAGTTTTCAGAGAGAATTCTAGCTAACGAACAGATAGACAGACAGACAGAAAGAGAGACAGACAGACAGTCCTACATCCCTTGATGTAATTTCTTTCCAATACTTTATTGTTGCAAAAAATGAAAAAGAAAATTAGAACTAATCTTATCATATTTAAAATGCTTAAGTCTCGGTACGAATCATAAAACAACATTTAAGATCTAAATTATAACTAACTACTCATAACATTATGCTCCATAACCATTAATACATCTCATAAAACTAACCCAAAACAACATAATCATTATCAATATAACGCACATATGGGGACAGCCAAGCAACTTGCCTAATGTACTATAAAAAAGCAACAATATTGTCTTTATTATCTCCAAAAGAAACTGAAATCTGCTAGTTATTTTTTCAAGGGTATAGAAAGAGGTTAAAAAAAAAAGTACATCATCCCCCAGCTGTTCTCAAATTTCAGCCAATTGCTTGTAGTTTCAAGGAACAGCAGAGATAGGAGTGTTACTAACTGAACTGCATTGATTCACTTAACAACTGTGGCAAGAAAGGTTGCAAAATGGGACAGAACTCTGTCTTGCTTAGTAACAGAAATTTTGGGCTCAATTGTGGTCATAAATCAAGGATTGCCTGTATGTAGTACAGGGGTGGGTTTCATTTAGCTTTGCTACCGGTTCGCTCACATGCACACCACATCTATGCATGCGCGGATTGTATTTGATGACATCCGCTGCTACTGATTCGCGCGAACCGGTAGCAACCCACCACTGATGTAGTAAATGTACACAATGATTTCCCTATCTGTTCCCTTGTACAAGGTAAGGCTAGTTTAAATGTACAATGTAAGGCTAGTTTACCAGAAGGACACAGCATTTATATCTGTACTTTGATTATTAAAATATGCTTTTATCTCACTTTAGGTTCTTACCATGCTTCATTTTGTGAAGTTTCCAGCAGCTTAAAAACATTCCTTCTGTTTATTAGGATTTTTTCCCCCCTTCTTTTTTTTTTTTTAATTTGATTTATATGCCGCCCTTCTCCGGAGACTCAGGGCGGCTTACAATGCGTTACGCAATAGCCTTCATACTTTTGTATATGTATACAAAGTCAGCTTATTGCCCCCACAAACTGGGTCCTCATTTTACCTACCTTAGAAAGGATGGAAGGCTGAGTCAACCTTGAGCCTGGTGAGATTCGAACTTACAGTAATTGCAGGCAGCTGCTGTTAATCACAATACTATCAGTCTGCTAAGCCACCAGGCTTCAAATCTTCAATTTTACAGTGAAAGTTATCTGGCTAATTCAAATAAATATAAAGTATAAATTTCAACTTAGTTCCCTTCTTTACCTGGTTTTCTTCAAGGTTTTAGCAATAGCAACAGCACTTTATATTAAATAAAGTGCTTTACAGCCCTCTCTAAGCGGTTTACAGAGTCAGCATATGGCCCCCAACAATTTGGGTCCTCATTTTACCCACCTCGGAAGGATAGAAGGCCGAATCAACCTTGAGCCTGGTGAGATTTGAACTGCCAAATTGCAGGCAGCCAGCAGTCAGCAGAAGTAGCCTGCAGTACTGCATTCTAACCATTATGTCACTGTTAGGATTTTTTTTAGCGATGTTTTCTTTTTTTCAGCCTCCTTTCTATCTGGCTCAGCTTGTTCTATGCTGACATGTTTTAACCCATTCTTTCAGACTTTGTTTCTTCCATTAACAGCTAGGAGATATCTATGGAGATTCTCAGTCATCCAGGTCAGGGTTGTCCCAAAGGTTGCTCCTTCAAGAGGCAACTGGACTTTCTGGTTTTTCTTTGAAGACGTTTTACTTCTCATCCAAGAAGCTTCTTCAGCTCTGACTGGATGGTGGGGAATGGAATAGAAATATAAATGGAATAGAAATCTTTCCATTCCCCACCATCCAGTGGGAGCTGAAGAAGCTTCTTGGATGAGAAGCGAAACGTCATCAAAGAAAGTCCAGTTGCCTCTTGAAAAAAAGCACCTTTGAGATAACAGCTAGGAGAGTTTTTAAGAGGTCAGAATTTCTAAAAGGCTGCTTAGGGGTCTTTATGTTCTGCCCACCCCCTCAATGTTTTGTATGCTAATTTCTGTTAAAACATCTTTTTTTTCAGAGGTGGCGTTTTGGAACCTGAAGGGACAGTGGAAATCAAATTCCGAAAGAAAGACTTAGTAAAAACCATGAGGCGTGTGGATCCCATCTATATGGGGCTGGCAGAGCGACTTGGTAAGTCTTGGTGGGTTGCTTATGTCAGATAGTCCTTGGCTTACAACAAGTCGTTTAGTAACCATTCAGTGGCACTGAAAAAAAATCCCAAAGGTGCTTTTTTCAAGAGGCAACTGGACTTCCTTGTTTTTCTTTGAAGACCTTTCACTTCTTATCCAAGAAGCTTCTTCAGCTCTGACCGCATGGTGGGGAATGGAAGGATTTATACTCCTTGCAGACAGCTGGTCATTTGCATTATTTTAGACAGCCCTTGAGGCCGCTTGGAGGTTTGTCTGCATCTCAGAGTCAACCTGAGTAGTGCAAATGGGTGTGGATCCCTCTTGGAGCTGCTGAAAGGACTGTGCTGTGGAGCTGTGCTTTCTGCAGGATGTTTTCTCCCCTGTGTCCCTTCACTGTTGCTTCACAGGGCAGAGAAAAACATCCTGCAGAAAACACAGCTCCACAACACAGTCCTTTCAGCAGCTCCAAGAGGGTTCCACACCCATTTTGCACTACTCAGGTGACCTTAAGGACACAGAGAAGCCTCCAAGCGGCCTCAACGACTCTCTAAAAAGATGCAAATGACCAGCTGTCTGCAAGGCATATAAATCCTTCCATTCCCCACCCTCCAGTCAGAGCTGAAGAAGCTTCTTGGATGAGAAGCTAAACGTCTTCAAAGAAAAACCAGAAAGTCCAGTTGCCTCTTGAAAAAGCACCTTTGGGACAATCATGAGCTGGATGACTGAGAATCTCCACAGACACTGAAAAAAGTGACTTACAACCAATTTTTTAGACTTATGACCATCGCAGCATTCCCATGGTCATGTGGTCAGAATTCATCCAGCTTAGCACCTGGTTCATAAAATAATTTTGACGTTGAATAAGAAAAGGTGATTTAAATTTACAGGTTTTTATTAAATGCTAAGGAACAGGGATATGCAACATATGCAACTGTATATGTGCATTTGCATTTTACGTATGTACTGTTTTTTTCCTGCTCATAAATCAAATTTACGCTGCCTAAGAAATAAAACCATGTTTTACCACTATGTTTGGATGGGTAAACAGCCACCAAAAAACCCAAAACAGAACCCAACAATGAGTGGGCTTGAGAAGGGAGGGGGTGAAATGGAAACAGCACATAGAATCACTGGATGTATTCATTGATTTTAAAGGATGTCACTGATCAGTCAGGCAGAAGATTGTTAACACAGTGAAATTATTTTTAATGAAAGGACATAAAAAATTGCAGATGATAAATGGCGGTCTTTGAAGGGTCACTCCCCTGTGTACGAAAGAGAAGGGGTAGCCCTTGGATTTCCAACATCTGTCACGTATAAAAATACGACTCAGAGAGATTTCCTATGATGAAATTGGTCCTGTTCTCCTAACAGAACCTCCAAGATTAATTCTTGGAAGACGTCCATGGTCGTAACCAGTGGTAGGATTCAAATAATTTAACAACCAGTTCGCCCAGGTTCAGGTTCAGGGGTGGGTTCTACTTACCTTTACTACCGGTTTGCATTGTGCCCGCGCTTCTGCACATGCGCAGATCACCTATGATGACATCTGGGTATGTGGGCGGAGCCTCCTGCTGGTTTTACTGCTGGTTCTTGCGAACCGGGCTGAACCGGGAGCAACGCACCACTTGTCAGGTTGGCTGATGTGGGAGGCGTGGCCCATCCCTGTCCTCTAGCTCCACTTGCACATGTGAGATGAACCTCCTACAATGGCCAACCTGACCCTGGGCGAACCGGTTGTTAAATTATACCCCTGCCCCCGCTATCAAAGTGGATCCTGGGTGCTGCGCTGCAATGGAGAAATGGACAACGGAGTGGCCGGCACAAGGGAAGGAGAAGGAGCAGAGAGAAGAAAGAGGGACTCGGCTTCCTCCTTCCCTCGCACTGGCCTCTCCCTGGCCGAACCACCGGCCAAGATCGCTACCGGATCAGGCGATCCGGCTGCGGGACCATCCTTAAACCCCATTCCTTCCTCATTCCTTTCTACAAATGGCACAATTCCCAGCTGAAAAGACGCATAGCTATCAAAACCAAAAAAAAAAAGGTTTAGGTTTCAGATCATTTCTACGATCCGTGGGATGAGGGTGTATTTTAATTTCCACAAACTCCACCAGCTTCTCCCACCAAAGCAGGCCATGAATCCTAGGCCAACCCTTTCACCCCCTCCACGGAGCCCGAGTGCTTTAAAAGCTTCCGAGGCTGATAAGTATCTTTGCTGAGATGGATCATAATTGCGCCCCTCTGTTGGGCAATCATTGGCATCGGCTTCCCATCACAACCCACCCACCCACAGGAAGGCTCAGGTTCAGAGGACGTTGCGGATTGCATAATTTCTCCTCTCTCTCTCTCTCTCTGTGTGTGTGTGTGTGTGTGCTTTTGTTGTGGATGTGTGTTTTCCCCCCTTTCTGGCCAATTTAAAATTTGTCAGAGCCGGTCGTCTTCTGGATCACTGCCCTTTGATATTTTGTGCACTCCATTTGGCACAAACAAGCCGCAGGGCTGCGGTTCATGCTGACTCCAGCAGAAGTGAAGAGCGGTTCCATTTATCTCGGCTTGCCTGCTGCATAACTTGTTCATTAGCCGGGGGTTCACTGCCTCTGTTAACCCCTGGATGGCTGCTATCATTCCCACCAAACGGCGGTTTTCGCGGCGAGAGAGAGCGCCAGGTTCCCCACCCCACCCCAGCTGCTGGTAGAAGGTGGAAGGTTAGGGGTGTGTGTAGGGAGTGTGTGGAAGTGGGGGGGGGCTATCTCAGAAAAGGATTGCGTTTTCATTCAAAACTCTGTTCTTCGGTTGGCCCCGAAGTGCAGGCAGGTTGGGGAAATATTGAATAATGTGACACTGAGCTGCTAATTATCCATTTTCGCGTGCCCTAACTGAAATCTTCATTGGTTTTGTGTTTATTACAATGTCACTCAGTCTTGTCATAGTGTGGTGCCTCGGCATAAGCAGGAAAGGGGCAACGACAGGGGTGGGGGGGGAAAAGTGCCTGGGTTGTACGCAGGGTAAATCTTTCAAAAGCTGTAAGGAACCGGTGGGATATTTGCAATGCTCCGTTCGTTGGGAGAAATGAGTCAACCAGAAGCACGTAGGGAAGGGGAAAAAATGGAGCTAACCTTGAAAAACATACTTGCAAATGTGGTTTTGATTTAGTATAAACCAGTGGAACTGTTTGCTACTGGATACCATATTATCTGGGTACCAAAATATGGAAGTTGGACCATAAGGAAGGCTGAGCGCCAAAGAATTGAGGCCTTTGAACTCTGGTGCTGGAGAAGACTCCTGTGAGTCCCCTTGGACTGCAAGGCGATCAAACCGGTCAGTCCTAGAGGAGATCAACTCTGACTGCTCTTTAGAAGGCCAGATCCTGAAGATGAAACTCAACTACTTTGGCCACCTAATGAGAAGGAAGGAAGGACTCCCTGGAGAAGAGCCTAATGCTGGGAACGATGGAGGGCAAAAGAAAAAGGGGACAACAGAGAACGAGGTGGCTGGATGGAGTCACCGAAGCAGTCAGCGTGAACTTAAATGGACTCCAGAGGATGGTAGAGGACAGGAAGGAACGTTGTCCATGGGGTCGTGATGGATCAGACACAACTTCGCAACTAACAACAATCATATTATCCGCCATATATGGATTAAAGGGCAGAACTGAAGAGTTTCCAAACTATTGTTATTATTATCCAAAATGTCAAGCCGTTCGTTGTTATCAAGTTTAATGTCAGACACAAGGAATCTGGAACCAGGGTTGTTCAGATGAGTACAGGTTTATTCCATGCTATCTCTAAACAAGAATCTGAACTACTAACAGTCAAGGCAAATTGGCGGGAGATAAAGAGTCAACGGAATTCAAAGTGGGCTGTGCGTAGATCTCATCTGAGCGAGCACAAACGGATTCCAAAGTGATGACGCATTTGACCCCTCCCATGTGCTCAGCCCGTCATCTCCTACATCTGCTTTTTCTCTATAGATGAAGGTTTGCAGGGAGGTGAAAAACAAACTGATTAAGGTTTGTGTTTTCTACTAAATTGGCCAGTGTCATAGTTTTGACAGCCTTTCTGGCAAATGACAAGGATCCTAACCCTGGTTCTGTCGTGTTTCCAAGTGCTATTCTTTACAGGTGCAAGAAATGGGATTCGGGAACTGAATTCCTGCCAGACTAATGTACTTTTTTTTGGATTTCTGTTAGCATGTTGGGTGAACCTTGGCAACTGTGATTAATCAATAAACTATGGTTAAACAGTCCATGGTTTAGCATGTTAACCCAGCTTGTTCGACCCTAGAAGAAAAAATGGAACTGACATGTGATAGAGTCTTCTGGTTAGTCTTTCTCACTGGGCTCTATTCCTACCAAGTTTCTTTGTTATTTTGAGAAAGTCCTATTGTTCGGTGCTGGAATTGTTTATATAGCTAGTCCTTGAGTTACAACCTTTTGTTTAGCGACTGTTTGAAGTCAGACGTGAAACCCAGCAGGTTCTGACAGGTTCTGGAGAACCGGTAGCGGAAATTTTGAGCAGTTCGGTGAACCGGCAAATACCACCTCTGGCTGGCCCCAGAGTGGGGTGGGAATGGAGATTTTGCAATATCCTTCCCCTGGAGTGGGGTGGGAATCGAGATTTTGCAGTATTCTTCCCCTGCTATGCCCACCAAGCCACGCCCACCAAGCGATGCCATGCCACGCCTACCAAGCCACACCCACAGAACTGGTAGTAAAAAAAATTGGATTTCACCACTGTTTGAAGTTACAATGGCACTGAAAAAGGTGACTTATGCCCATTGCAGCATCCCCACAGTCATGTGATCACAATTCAGACACTTGGCAAACTGATTCGTATTTATGACCGTTGCAGTGTCCCGGGGTTACGTCATCCCCTTTTGCGACCTGCTGACAAGCAATGTCAATGGAGAAGCCAGTTTCAATAACAACCGTGCGACTAACTTAACAACTGCAGTGATTCACTTAACAGCTGTGGCAAGAAAGGTCGTAAAATGGGGCAAAAC